CATCCTCAGCCAACGCTTCCAAGATAGCAAGGCCATAGTACCTAATGTTATCCGTCACATAAATGAGGCTATTGTAGAGCAGATATTGGACACGAGTGCTGTAACAGCATCCCGTTGAGGCTCGGTTGAGTCATTGAGGATGCGAGACGAACGCCTATTCAAAACTATGGTACGATTTGTGCCTCTGCTTCGCTTACGCGATGTAAAAAAAATCAGTACCACGGCTGCTATCAAGGGGGCGTTGGCTCAGCTGGAGAACCTCTGTTCGCCGCAGCATCACACACCTCGAGCGCGGTACGACTAGAAAAAAAACAACAGGTTAGTGTATGTATAGACATATAATTAAAACAGCCTATATGTATAACATATAATCAAAACAGCGCATATGCATAATATATAATTAAACCAGCCTATATGTATAACATATAATTGAAACAGCTCACAAAGCACCTCCAAACATTACTAAGTATAGACCTTTCCAGCGCTTATCAGTGAGGTGAAAAATGCTGAAGCTCTGGACTGTGGACGCATGTGCCGGGTCGAATACTCCACAGAAAAAGCCAACTGCGCATGCTCAGAATTCGTTCAAAAACCCACTATACAAAGACGGAAGCGCGCGAAAGGCTATTATTGAAATGGCATTTACGTCGGTTGAGACTGACGTGAACATTTTTCTGGAAACGTTCGGTAAAATATTTAGATCGAAATTATATTCCTGGATATCTTTTTTTTTTTCTATCTTCTATACTCCCCGCTCTCTAATATAGACAAAATGGCGATATGAATACGGAGCTTAAGACCCCCGTGGTCGCTATACGGGTAGAAACTGCGGGAGAGGAGGAGATGAAAGCGCACGGCGACGTCGGAACGCCGAGCTCTGATTCGAATGATTAGTGCGCAGACGCGAAGTTAGATGCCTTTGTTTCTAAAAAGCGTCCGAAAGCGTTTGAACACGGAAGCCGGAAGCCGGATGCCGGCGTTTGAGTTCGAGTACTTTTAAACGGCGAGTTGAGACAGAGGAAGCTAGCTTGCGTCCAGTTACTAATTATTCCGACGGCGTGCCCGCGCCATCTCATCTCCTTTCCTTTCTTAGTTTCTACAAATATTTTTGGAGAGCCTGACTATAGGCTTGGATTTCATGCACATAAAGGTTTTTGGGGTTTTCATTTCTTCAGATGAGCTGACATTTCAAGTAACAGACTCTGCATCCAAGTACATTTTAACCGACTCTGAGAACGCGCCAAAGTTTCGGGGACTACAAACTCGAGCTGATATTAAGGTGCGTATACGTGCGATGAAGTCATATGTATATATATATATATATATATATATATATATATATATATATATATATATATATATATATATATATATATATATATATATATATACCTACCTGCATGTGCTCTTTTCGGTTCTGTGTAACTGCACACGCCACTCTTGTCCTCTTATTAACGTATATCTTTGGAACAACATAACTAATAATAGAGCTTTCACATACTATTTCGTGTCCTGTAAAGATGTTTGAGAGATTCCCAAATAACGCGTTACTTTCTGAAGTATATGATATGTTTTACAGATATAGGCAATTTGAAATCTTCTTCGATGGTGTGAGGTGATGCCGTGCTCACAGACCAAAAACTTGGGTGCGTGGCTTTTGCCCAAGTTCAACCGGGCAACCCTTTGTGTAGGCACACTAGACTTCTCGGCATGACACTTTGGATCGTCAATGCCTTACTTGAACAAACTTTGTAACAATAAAACAGCTATGCATTCCTCAAAAACTCAATAAATAGCCCAGTTGCCAAACTAAGGTTTTAATCGTAATGAAAAAAAAAAAAAAAAAAGAAACGTATAAATATTCTCTTTAAACGAGTTTTAACGTCACCTCCAACACCAAAATGTTGACCGTCCGCCCATGCATTCCCCTCGAAATTTAGCGGGGAAACTGAAATAGTGTTTAGGTCACGTGATATCAAAAATCTCACGAAACCAATCGCCACCCCTCAAAATTTGGTAGTGACCAGACGTCAACCCCGCTCAATTTGGTAGAACAATGGATGTCACAAGACCTGTACAACTTCAGTTTCCTCGCTAAATTTAGTGAGACAATTCAAGTGTTGTGACCTAAACACGACTTCAGTTTCCCCGCTAAATTGAGCGGGGAAATTGACGTCCCGATGACCTATACACGCATTGAGTCAACCCGCTAAATAAAGTGCGGAAGTCGATGTCGCGTTACCTAATCTCCAATTCAGTTTCCCCGCTAAATTTAGCGAGGAAAATCGACGTCACGTGGCCTATACAACAATTCAGTTTCCCGGCTATATTTAGCGTGGCAATATGTCCCCAGACACACCGACTCCTTCTCCTCATCGCCATCTTCGCTTCTCGCTCCCTTTCTCTCCCCCTGTCTTCCCTCTCCTACGCTGTCTTCCCCATCTGCCTCCTCCTTCTTATTTATCCCTCCCTTATTTTCCTACAACGCCAGCTCTCTCATCTCCCCCTCCCCTCCTACTTTCCTCTGCTTGGTCATGTGACACAGGAACTCGTATTCCCCGCTAGATTAAGCGGGAAAAATACGTCACGTGACTCACGCATTCCAACTCCTCGTTCTTCTCTCATAACTTCTCTCTTCCACCCCTTCCAATCCATCTCAACCTCCTACAATGCTCCCCTCCCCATCTTCTTCTCTTCCCTTCCAATCTCCTCCCACCCCGTCCTTCCCCTCCCTCTTCTTTCTATCCTCTTCCTCTTCCTCCCCATTTGCCTCCCTTCCCCCCCGTGACGTATCTCAATTTCTTCAAAATTAATAAAACATAGGTTCTTCGCTCTCAAAATTTCTGTTTAATGACTTCAGAAGAATTGGAGCAATCGGTCCTAAAAACTGCAATTTATAGGACTTAGAAGGTAAATGTCGCTGCCAATTTTTCTTTATTTTAGATGTTTCCTACAAGAAGTTTCTTTTTTTATGAAACATGAAGTCGTGACAATAGATCACTCATAAAACTATCGTCTAATGAGAGTTTAGTATAATGTTGCAATAAGACGCAATAACCACTTTTTCTATCTCTGTATTGTCAGGTTCGACAAGAACACATCAGACGTACACAACACGACATGTCGAGAGTTGGAATGTTATCACTACGCGCACTACTTATGGTTTAACATCCATAACATATACATTTCCATCACTTCTTAATAAACATGCGAGTAAACACCTGAATATTAGTAGGCAATCAGAGAGTATATGCTGCTCTTTGTTAGCTGAGTACTTTTAATGCTTCGTTGTTTACTTGTTTCTTTTGTTGTTGCTTGAAATATTTTTTTCCGTTTGTTGCCGTAATGTGTAAAGAAAGTAAAGGCTCGCCAAGTTGCAAGTGTATCAGCTCTTTGCCTGGCCTTCCTCTTTGTGTATGAAACGGAAAAAGATATTATGCATTATTATTAATGCAGCGTACAGAACGAAGGGAGAGCATTAAAAACATTTAAGCATATTCTATCATAGAAATGATCGCCACAACTGAAGCATTGCATTAAATCTAATTATAAATCTCTAATCACCTGTGACTCAATGTGAAACAAATATTGCCGTTTGTTATATCACAGGTAAAACGCGCAGAAATAGTTAACGGATAACCTTTTGTTTTGTTTCCCAGGAGCTAATGGTGGTGGGCAGCTGGCCGGGATTTTTCTCAGTGTCCGCATTCCAGGATATCTCGGACACGTCGTTTCAAGAGGTCTCTGTGCCTGACACCAGGAACGAAATAGCGGCGATATGCTATTCCTCTGGTACTACGGGATCCCCCAAGGCCGTGGAAATCACCCACTACAGCTACATTGCTGGGATGATGTCCCTAACGTAGGTGTTATAAGAGCAAGGAATTTTGTTTTAGCCACTGCTGACGATTTGTCTGCAACTGCTGACCATTTCGGTTTTTTTATGTTTGCGTAACGTAAGTCTGTTAGCATTATAATTTATATTGACTCTGCCTTTAACGTGAAACGTTCTTTGGCTAGGGGTTCGGCATTTTGTGAAGCCCAGATAAAAGCGTGGCCGCGAGGCTCGACACTGATTGGTTGATCTGTGGAGAGGAGGAGTGAGGTGCTCGAAGCTGATGGGTTAACGGGGATGTCATGTGACCAGACGGATAGGCGAGGAGGAGTGGGGTAGGCAAGGAGGAGCTCGACAACTGTGCGCGTTAAGGGGGACGAACTCGAGAGTATCTGGAAGTCTCGGCATGATCACCAGGTTCATCAGCCCGGTTGGCGGTAGTATCACCTCATTATTATAAAAACAACTATCGAGTGTACACATGGTTCGTGTAAAACTATCGATGAAGTGCGCCGTGAACGTAGGTGTCTGACGTCTGGAAACTCAGAGTATCGCTAAACGTGCGCGATGTTGGAACGTGTCACGTATTTAGCACAATTGCGTAGCAATTGGCCATAAGTTTAAAATGTTATAACTCTGAAACTGCGACTGTTATAAAAAGTTAAGAAGCTGAATTTTTTCTACCTCTAATGAATTAAGTCATATTACAATCTTTCGACTACATTATAAAAGCATCACTCTGCGCACTGTTCGTCAGAAGCAACAGTGTCTTTTATACAGTCCGAGCTCTACCTTTTAGCTCGACAAACAGAAATAATCTTTACACCTTTCATATATTTTTACACTTTGAGGGACACTTCGAAAGTAATGAGACTATTTCACGTAAGCTTTTCGTCGTTTAGATACATCATTACCTATCAAAGCCGATTTTATTTTCCAGAGGAACGAGTAAAAAATGTAGCCATGTGTAAACAATTTCACTAAATTTATCAGGCTCGCGTGAGCCAAGTGAATCAAAATACCTAGATTTTATTTTTTGCCACTCCATTGCAGGTCATCAAGAATTTTCGGTGCCGGCGATGTGTTTTTAGGTTGCGAGTCAATCACGCACGCCTTCGGATTTTTCTTCACAATGTTTGGGGTCTGCACTGGAACAACCACAGTAATGTGGAAGCCGGATGCACCCATGACGGAAGTGGCCGGGGCCATAAAAAGACACAAGGTACGCGCGCCTGTAGTTTTCTTCATAACTGCTTTAAAAGGGGTTGAAGAAGAAGAAAAAAGGATTATTTTAAGCGAAAAGCGACAAATGTTTTAACTATAATGTGTCCTAAGCGGACCTACATGATGTAAAAGGAGTCGGAAAAATCGGTTTCTGCACATAGGAAGCTCGAACTTTAAGTGATTGAGCACTGAGCAGGTGTGTTTTTCCGTACGAAATTTCAGAACGCAGTTTTTTCCCTGTAAGAAATAAGAGCAAAAAACTTGGCGAAGTCAAATTTGGCCGCGTTTGCGGACGATCGAGTTAGCGCCACTATTTACTGGTGGTGTCATCTCCCGGTAGGCGCGGTGAGCAGACAACAAAGTGCGTCGTCCGCTCACTGCGCCTATCGGGAGATGGAGCCAGAAGTAAATAGGCGTCAATAACTCGATCGACTGCAATTGCGTCAAAACCTGACTCAGACAAGTCTTTCGCTTTCATTCCTTACAGGAAAGGAACTGCGCCTTCAAATTTCACGCGATAAAATTAACTTGCTCAGTACACGCCCGGTTAAAATTTGAGATTTCTATGTGGAGGCGCCGAATTTTCTGGTTCAATTTACAGCGGAAGGTCGGCTGAGAACGCAGAACCTGCTGAGTCCATACACCTTCTTTATCACTCCACAGCAAATCAGACTGAGGCATTATCCAATAAAGACGCCGATGAACGAATCACAAGACATGAAATATGAACATCAACAGCCAGCCCTAACCTTCCCATGCGCACGGGCTCATAGGAAGGTTAGAGTCACGTGTCGAGCCCGATCGAAGTGAAGATGAGAAGGCAGTCAAATTTTAGAGAGAGAAGGCGTGGAAGAGGAGGAAATTTTCTTTCCCGTTTTGGACAATGGTTTGCGCTACCTTCGAGTATTTAGAGACTTTAGTTGAAACATGTGGGAAACCAGGCTTTGCCTAATATTTCACTGAAACAAAAGCAGCAGATACTTTCCAGACAAAAGTTCGAATAAAATGCGGACAACTTAGGCGAAATAAGACTTCATATCTTCGTTTACACCCAACGTGGTCGTAAAAGAAAAATAAAGTTCTGACTCCTCACGGAGCGTTAAAATATATGTTCTTTACATGCTTGATGACGAAACTTCAATGTGCATTTGAGATAAGTCATTTGTAATTTCATAACAACCTACACAATTCGAAGGAAAAAAAAACGTATATTTTTTTCTTCCGGCAGTTTAATATTTTAAGAGCTGCAGTAAACGTAAAACGTCGGTGGTTGTCTGCAGAGGACGCTCAGAACTAGCTTCCATTTGTCTCATACGAAGAACACAGATGTTCATTGGGAGGAATGCAGGATTTTGCGCGTTGAACGTGCATCCCACCCAACCAGGACGGTTGTTCTTGGCAGACGATAAGTAGAAGCCATACTCCGTGTCATTAGTTGCGTGCAGTACGGGCAAAGTCAACGCCAAGCGAGGGAAGAAAGGGAAAACGCTAGGAAGGCCGGGGAGGAGGAGGAGAAAAACCTCCTCTCTAACGTGCCTAGTGCTCTCTGTTCAACACCAATTACTGCTCTCGCCCTCCATTTCCCTCCTTTCCTGTCCCGCAATCTCAGTGCTCCACCCCTTTCTCTCTTCGCCTGGCGTTGCCTTCGCCTGCACTGCACGCAGCTAGTGACACGGAGCATACAGTTAATGAACAAAGCCTGCGGCTTCCTCTATTCGCGCACGTCGCAATAAAGCGACATTGTCTTGGCTCTAGCCACGAAGCATGACATTAGGGAGTTCAAGTAAGATCGTTCCGATGACTCTAATGGCCTCTACCCAATATTCAGCCGGCACTTTCCTGCGTGCATATTATCGCTATCGGGTATTATCGTTGTCAGAGTTATCGGAACGACATGTAGTTAACCGACGGATCGAAGACTGCAGGGTGTGGATTACTCAACCCGCTCCTCGCTCCTTGATTGGTTCTTCGAGGTTCCTACCGGATAATGCCGCTCTCTGATTGGCCACGTAGCGGTAATGCGCTTCTTAAGTTTTCGATGACAACGGAGAAGCTGTATACTTGTTTTTTAATAACGTGTATACTAATAATTTCTGTCCGTGTTTTCAGATCACAGCTGTTGTCTGTTTTCCCTTCATGCTACGCAAACTCTCCGAGCACGTTGAACTCACAGGCGTTACCTTGGATACGGTGAAAAAGATCTTATTCACCGGAGGCTGCATTCCGACCACACTGGGCAGGAAGATCCGTTCCCAGTTCTCCCTCGAATGCTTCCGGAACATGTACGGCCTCTCGGAAGCGCTCAGTCCCGCCTGCATGCCGTCTTGGGACGAGACCGACTGCAACAACATCGGCTTCCCATCGGGCTTGGTGCAGCTGAAGGTGAGCTCGTAGAAGAGCCGTAAACGTGTAAGCGCGGCGGGCGTGTATACGGGGTGTCCCATTTGACGTGCACGGAGCTTTAGAAGAAAAGAAGTGCTCTCCAGGAACGAAACCAACTGTATGCCCGTCTGGTGTGCTGGCTTCACTGAATGAAAGAAAATAATCCCGCTTTTACGAGAAAGCTGGCATGTTACGCACGCGTTCAGGGTAATATTAACGCCAGAGGGCAGATTTTAATTTAGAAACGAATCCGAAAATAACTTCTATTTTGGAGTTAATAAGGCGTTCTCGTAGGTCGTTTTCGCCGTCCCGCAACTTTCTCCTTAAATTGCTACAAGATCCAGGACTCCGCCGGCAAAGCTAGCGCCACGCATGCGCAGTGGCGGCGTCTTTGTTCCGAAGAGCGTAGCGGAGGTGGGAAAACGGACTACGAAAACTCCTTAATGTCTCCGTATGGACGATAATTTCGGTTTCACTTCTAACTCATAATGTGTCTCACAACGTTATAATTGAGCTAAGAAAGTTTTAGCGCAGCATTAATTTTTTTGACGTACGTGTCAAATCCACACACTTAAAATATTTGTTATATAGTTCCACGCTAGAGGGGTGTAACTGTATATGACATCCTGTGTTTTTGGATAGCTTGAAAACGATGTCAGAGTTTTTCATATGCTAAGAGATGAGACCTTCCTCTAAAACTATGTTGGTTACATTGCCTGTTTTTGTGATTGTGGCGTCTTTCGGGAGCCTGCGTTATCGCAATTTGAATTAATAAAAAGACGAAAGACGTTTACAAATCCCTGTAATGCGAAATTAGAGCGCAGCTCTCGAGGAGGAGGAGGGGGGGAGAACACGGAGGGGAGGGTCATTTCCCTACTCCTTCTCCGTACACTCTCCTCCATTTCTCGAAGAAGAAGCGTGACGTTACACAAGATTGGTGGGTTGGGCGATGTAACAGGGACAGACAGTGGCGAACCAACTTGGTTTTGAGTGGGGGGGGGGGGGGGGCAAACCAGACCCCCCCCCCCCCCCCCCCCCCTGGGGTCGCATATTTTTACTAGTGATGGGCCGAACTTTTGCCGAATTGCAAATTCGGCGCAACTTTTGCCGAACTTTTCTAAAGATTTGGCAATGATTCGGCAAAAATACACTGTTAATAGATTTAATATTGATATTTATTTTTTTCTTAACATAAATAGAGCATGTAGTGCCTATTGACACATTTATGACTAAATAAGGTGATCTTCTACAAGATAATTGTATCGATGTCGTTTTTGTATGTTTACTGGCAATTTTAGTCTTTGCTTGCAGAAAATGGCTTGACAACGAGGTTGGGTAGCCGGCGCAGTCACGAATCACGCTAGGAGAGTTTTGATTTTGAGGCTTCATCAGCGCACTCATGCAAGCGTGTTTACATTGTTAGAATGAAGACAATCGCTGCGTTCTTACTTTCTCTGGGAGTCACCGTTTCATGCGCGAAAACGAATGCAACGGTTACTAAGCCTTCGCCAGAAGAGATAACAATATTGTAAATATGCATGTTTTTCGATTTGGAGTCACTTGACGTCAGCTTTGCATGAAAGTGTGCGTTCCATATTCGCAACGTGCCGTTTTTAACCTTTAAAATTCCGGTTTCTGGTGTTAGGACACACACGGACGTTTAGGAAGATGGGGAGAGTTAGGAATGTCGGATGTGCAACGTCAAGGGCATGACAGTTCTGTGTTTAGTTTTATGCAGATACATGAAAATCGCGAAATAACGCGAACTAAAAAGCAATTTTATTCTGTTTTGGCACAAACTACTTGTGAGCCGAAAACAGGATTGTTATAATGTTAATAATAATAATAAAATTAATAATAATAATACTAATTTTATTTGCACATACTGGAAGGTGCCCATGTGGTGTGCGGGGCTAGACAGATAGGTGCAAACCCTTACGCACAGCGCCTGCCAGCCAGACTTGTACGTAGTTCAACTACTTTACTCAAGTTACAGTAGTTTAACTACTTTTCTGGGTAGTTTAGTAACGTTTAATTACATTTCTATTTTGGTAATTAGTAGTTTAACCCCTTTTCTGAGTGGCTGTTTTGCCTATCAACAGAGATAAGATGTTAGAAGTTCAGCTGATATTTGCAGAGGGGGAAGCATGGTGGCGTAGAAAGGGGGGGGGGGTGGAAAAAAGCAATTTGGATAGTCCAAAATTCCCCAAAATTTTAACCAACCCCCCACTGCAAAAGACACTGCTATAGGACGCGAAGAACGAACATACACGATGTAAGAGAGGCCGAGTAACTGGGATTACCGCCGAAAACTAGCGTTTCTTTGTATACCGAAGCTTAAGGAGACTTGACGCATTTGAAAAAAGGGCTTGTCCCCGTTTTTCCTCAATGTAGAAATTCTTGCCCACTACAGGAGGTATACACACTACATCCTCACTCAAAGGAGGTAACAAAGCGCAGCGCCCGCCCTGAAGTTGATCTGCTGGTCCTCTATAGTTTGTGCTGTCTTTCGAGACGTCATTTTCTCTGAGTGAAGAAATGGCGGCTACAATACCCATACCAATAAGTGCCTTGTAAGTTGATTGTGTTAAATGGTTCGTCAGCGAAAATAAAGCAATTACTCTATGGCGTATTGATTAACGCAATTTCCAAGAAAAAGAAAAAACTGATGCACCTCCGATTTCCCCTGAAGCTATGCACACCGGCATGTTAAAGAAAAAAAATAAATAAACGCTGTATAGGGATTGAGAGGGCATTCTGAAAGAGTGAGTTAAAAAGTACTTCTACTTTACTTTGGAAGTACATTGTATTTATAGTACTTCACTTCAAGTACATTGAACCCAAAGTACTTACTACTTTACTTGAAGTACATAATCTCTCATTAAGTTTGTACTTCCAAGTAGTTTTTAGACGTACATTAAACAAACACTGTAAGCAATCAAACGCTGTCTGCAAAATTAAGCTCAGGCAGTGCTAAACCTCAAAGGTGAAATGATATATCCGCAGTACATCCTTGACCAAAAAGAAGTACACAACAATTAGGCATGCAGAAGCAGAACCAGCTATTAAAGTGTTTCTGTGAAAACACAAGCCGCTTTATATTCGGCTAGCAGAATTTCGCTAACGCATCAAAACCTTTGTAAGTATTTCCTTTTTAGCATAGAAAAAATAAAAGCAACTTCAAAAGTAATTTGCTCCCTTTTTACGGTAATTAGTAATTTACTTAATTACTTTCCATTTCAGTAATTTCTACTCTACTCAAATTACTTTTGAGGCTAATACTCGGTAACTTAACTTAATTACTTTTTTTGAGTAGCTTGTGCATGTCTGCTGCCAGCCCGCCACCACATATAAAAAAAACACAAATAAATGTGCAGAACATACACACTACAGAAAGTACGTAAAAAGGAAAGAAAGGAAGGGAGAAAACATGTATAAAATTATGACGAGGATGCTAGCTGCATCCCATACATTCTGGCAAGCTCTCATGAATCTGCACCGTTTGACGGCAGTGGGCTCCGCAAACTCAGCGTAATATGAGGCAGTTGTCAGTCAATGTTTCAACTACCTCGTTGCATCAATGGAAAGGTCCAATGAAAATCACGTTATCCAGAATGCACCGCATCATTTGGCACTTGCGCAGTGGACTGCGTAAATAACTGGTCGATCTTCTCTTCTTGAGGCAGAAAATATTGAAGAGAACCACACTCGCAAAAACTCACAAACGCAAAGTTACCACGTCGCCTACTCCACACCTCGCCGTAACCACTGGTTGTAGTAAACTGTACGATGGTAACCGCGCGACTGCGCGGAGTCCATTTGCGATCCATGACCCCATCGCCTTCGTGCGCATGCGCAGACATTTGCCAAATTTCTGCCGAATCTTTGCCGAACTTTCTTTCAAAATTTCGGCATGTGCGAAACTTTGCCGAATCTGAAGTTCGACAGATTCGGTCCATCACTAACTTTTAGGGCTTGTGTGTGTGTAGGTGTTGTAAAATAGGGAAAGGGGGGAGAGGAGAGGGCCAGTTGCGTATGCGCACCAGGCTCTTTGGTCACTGTCTCCTTTTACGGCGCAGGCGATAGACCACCTAGCAACGACGCTCCCGCCGGATTGGCTGCTCGCCAACGCGCGGCAACCTAGATTTCGGATTCGGACGGCGCGTGTATCACTCGAAGCGCGCTAACCCACGCCCGCGCGTGCGTCCAAGCCGCTTCGCGGCGACAGTGTGCGACTGCTAATTACAAAACTATTCACCCACTTAACCCCCCCCCCCCCCCCCCCGTACACACCGCTTTGCGGCGTCCTGTCGGCAACCTAAGCCCTGCTGTCCCCCATGCACTTCCGTAAATACAGTCCCCTATGATTTAGTTGAGCGATGTTTCGTCAACAACATTCGTTTTTTTCAGTGTTAATCGTAAAAAAAAAAAAAAAATGCCGTAAATATTGTTAAATGCCTCAACAAAACAAAATGCTCGAGGAAAAAAAAAATAAAAGAACTAAGCCAACATCATGGATAGAACCCGGGCCTGATACGTATGAGGTAGACATCGTACCACTAAGTTATACTGCCGCTTCGGAAACTCGCATTGTATCCGCTGCCTATGTTGACGGCGGCAGCGCCTATCTCCACGAACCAGCCAATCCGGCGTGAGCGCCGTTGCTAGGGTATGCATCGCCTGCGCGTTAAAAATATCCCGGCGTGGGTCGTGGGGCGGTGCCCTTGGTATTCCTTGGGCGCCGCCGGCCAGTGTTTGCCCTCCCAGTGGCGGCCGTTTCAGGGGGGGGGGGGGGGGGGGGGGGGTGGCAAAACACATACCTTGCCACCCCCACTCTGAGAACAGGGGGGGGGGGGTCAAGCGCCCCCCTTGCCCCGCCTCCCCCGGTTGGTACGCCCATGGGGACAGAATTAAAAGGAAACTTTAAAGGGGTGCATATGTAGCAAAGCTAACACCTCCTATAGAGAAGAAAGCCTAAATCCTTTCCTGCATCACTAATGAAGGTTATCCCAGGCCGCATTTTGGCCAACAGTGTCGCGTCAGCGTTCGGCAGGAATTCGTGTCCAAATAGTGAGAACAGGACTCCTAGCCTTACGCTGGCGCCGTATAGTCGTGTCACAATCTCTGGCCTACGGTGGTCTTCGTTAGTGAGGCCGGAAAGCACTTAGGCTTTCTTACTGAGGAGGTGTCGGCTAGGCTAAGTTGCGCGAGCTACCGCCCAATACAACACGGTTCGCCACTGACATTCATCCACGCAGGTTGTGGACGTGGAAACCGGTCTGCCAGTTGGTCCGTACAGGACAGGAGAGTTGCACATCAAGGCTCCGACCGTCACTCGCGGCTACAGCCGTAAAACAGGAACCGTTAGCGCAGTCGACGAAGGTGGCTGGTTGGCATCTGGTGAGGACATCGGTTTGAAAAGGTTCCCTATTCGAGCCGAGAGACCGGCAAATAGTGCCACTGTTGTCGCATGTGGGCAGTTGAACACGCACAGGAAAACAACTGATCAATAGCCCCTCCCAAAATTCAGTGCTATCTGGTAGCTGAAATGGCGGTTTAACTTCTGCCATACTGATGGCGGCAATGAACCTGTAGACTGCTGTATTTCGTTGGGCACCGTCACTTTCGCAAGTAAACGGCCAACAAGAATGTGCTCTTCATTCCACAATTCTTTCTCGATCATCTCTTTCAGTGTCGATGGCCACAAACATGCGACCAGTCAGAACGAAGCGCCAACCCAGATAGGCGCCTTGATAAAGTTATATATATCAACTTCAAGGGGCTTTAAGTTGATGTTGTGCTACTAACAAATTAACTGGGCCCCAGTTATAAAAATGAACCCTCACGCAGCTCTTGCATTCAATTTCTGCTTGGAACGTGCTAACGTCTCGAGTGTATAGGCCTCGAATCCTGAGCTTAGGAGTATCTTCAACTTGTTCTTTCAACAGTAAACCGAAGGCCGCCATCATTTCGGCGTATATGCCATTTTTCAGATGATGATGATTGTGATAAAAGTGGCCAGACTGAATTTCGGAAAGGGTCTATTGCTGAATTTCCCAAGCACCAACATGAATGCCGGGAACGTAGATATATGCGCCGCGCGTGCTGGAATCTGCAGCATTAACTGTTCAAAAGTGAAAATGTAAAACAAATGGCACTTCTCACTTTCGCCCTTCCACGCCTTATTTTGATTCTTTACTTTGAATATTTTACATTCATAAGTCGGATGCTCGCAGCGCGTGTATCTACGATCCCAGCATACAGCTTGGTGCTTGGGTTATTCAGCGAAAGGTCTACTAAGGTGAATTGTTCTGTATACAGGGCTTACAATTGCCACTTTGCAACTGAGCGGTAGAAAACGCGACGCGAGCTGGTGAAAAAACAAACAAAAAAATTTGAATAATGAAAACTGTTTTTTTTTTTTAATTTGAAGTTCTAGTAACTGTGCTGCATATGTGAAAATAACAAAAATAATGTTTTTTTGTGGTATTATCTTTCTTAGTTTTATGAATATCCTGGAAACAACATTATACAATATTAATACGTGAATTTGCAAACACGACAGGCGGTTTTGAAAGAACCGAGCACAATCCATGCGGCCGGAGTTAGGAACACTTGGTGCACGAATCCCCAATTTTAAGGGTTTAAAAACACATATAGTAGTTTTACACAAAAAAAAAAAAAAATCCGACGCACGAACATTTCTCGAGTTTTTATGTCCGTGAGAAAAAGGCAGCCAAAATTGAAGTTGTGAAAGAAATTTTTGGAGAGTTACTTAAAACAATGCCTCGCAAAAAATTTTCTGTTAAACTTGTAAGGACCTGTAATATCTATGAATTGAGAAAGCCTTTTATTCAACTTTTTTTTTTTGTTAATAAAAACAGCTCTTCAAACTTGATAAATACAAAATACGTACTTATGCGGAATGTTTATTTACACGTTTTAACGACGTGTGCCACCGAAAGCGCCGCTGTTGTAGAAGTTTTTCGCGACTGGTCCAACCATGGTCTTGTATACTGGTAATGCCTGCCCAATCGCCGGCCTACGGCGAGGCAATTTCTGCCAATTATGGCATTGTGTCCGCCATCCACATATTTTGCAATATGCTGACGCCATCAAAATGGTGTCATCCATCTATGACTGTGAAATGATCCTCGAGCATGTTAATGCTGTGCACCATTGGTGTTGCAGCAATCTGTTAACACTAAATTCTTAGAAAACTGTAGTAATGTCCTGTTCTAAGAAATTGGAAATCATAAGTTTCTGTTACTATCTTGAGAACCTACCTCTGCGGGTTGAATGCACAGTAGATTTAGGAGCATATATTGATTCATCATTGTCCATTTGAAGAACATCTTTCCAGCATCACGCTAGGTGTTATTTCGAGAATAACGCGTGAATTTCCTTCGTCAGCTTGTATATTCATTTTCTATTTTTCATTAGTACGTAGCAAGCTTGAATTTAGTTCGGGCGTTTGGAATTGTATTGGTATGGGCAAACCAGGCAAAAATCGAAAGCGTACAGAGACGTTTCTTTCGTATTATTTATGATCGATACATTGGTCGCAGTGTTTATTATGAGTATAACAGGCTTTTACGACGATGAGGCTGTACTAAACTAAGCTCCAGAAGACTTGAGCGCGATCTAGTATTTTCGTATAAATGCGCTTATTGTCGAATTGACTGTTCAACTCTCACATCAGCTATTAATATATATGTACCGCGAGTGCTTTTGAGGGTAAATCCCACTTCCTCAGTTTAAAAAAAATCAGCCTTTCCAGGCCCATAAACCGCATCCAACATTTTTAAAAGAGGTTCAATACAACCAGCATCGACATTTTCAACTCACGTGGACAAGCGTTTCGGCGTCCAGTGACTGATATTTAACTGTTACCCAGTTCCTGCTCCCCCATAATAGATATAATTTGTTGCAGGTGCCGTAGATCTCTTGTGCGTGCTATTTTTGACTATGGGCATAATTACTCAGGCTACTCGCTGTTCATGAGCACGGAAAATAAACAAACGTATGAATGAATGAATGAATGAATGGCGATGCGGAGGCAAATCTTAGCCGTGACATCACGAAAGGAAACCATAAAAGGGCGACACTGAAGAATCTCGGCGCTAATAGAGACTGAAATATGACCTAAGAAGCTTATTTAAGCAGAGGTATGTAAATAAAAACACAAACATCTATTGGGTATATTTCAGCTGCTACATGTCTGAGACATTTTTAAACAAAATCCTACAATATTCGCTACTCCAGAGGAGGCGACGCCACCCAGCGGAAAAGACTCCAAGTAAAGAAACTACCGCCTATCCGAGTGAGAGGTGGAAACAAGCTCAGCATAGCGGCAAAAATATGAAATGAAAAAAAAAAAAAAAAAACCGGGGAAAGAAACGGCAGAAAAGTTATTCATTCGAGTCTCCATTATGGAGTTATGCAGATGCAACATTTAGAGCTGGAATCTGGTCTGGAGGTTACGATTCCGGGATGCATTTACGATTAAACACGTCTTAAAAAAGAAAAAAAAAAACTATTTGATATTTGGTTTAGACTTGGTTGCATTGAGCAAGCGACCGAATAATTTCATAGTTAAATCTTACCTGGAAACCACTACAGTTTTTCCAATGAAAATTGTCATTTGCCGAACTCAAGTATAGGAAAGGACCTGACAAAAACTCGAGCCCCGACTAGGTCGCCCCTAGCACTAAACAGATCATAGGTCCTCTTTGGCGGCTGCACTCAGATGAGGTTCGATTAAGTTTTGCGCATCGGAAAAAGCTTGCGGAATTTGTAAGAACCTTAAATCCCGTCGTAATAATGACGGGCACAATAGGCCCACGCAATTGGTCACAATCGCTTCCCGACGAGTAGGCGGCGACAACCGCCAGGTGGCAGCGAAAGATTAGAGAGCCTGTATTACAGAGAATGTCCAACTGCCCGAACAGGGTCACGTGGTTTACGGGCCGCGCTTGCAACGCGAGCTACAGGTGACGAACGCGTTAGTCGTCCGACAGCGCGCTTATTCACCTTTCCGCCTTCTTTCCTCCTAGCCAGATGATAAAGCAGCGCATGCGCACTTGAGACCAATCTCCGATGGAGGCGTCCGCCATTAAGCTGCAAACGCTCCCCATGGTTTGAGTTGCACGCTCTCTTCAATCCAGGCTCTCCGAGAACAAGAGGCGACATAGGCGACGCCGTTGGCGTGCTCCTTTCGTACGAGGATATGCTCATTGGATGTCCGACAAGAAACGAAAACAAACGCATAGTCTCGAAACATTATTGCAACTTCTAAAGTATTCGGATAAAAAATTCTAGAGTTCCTTCAGATTTTCCCAAACCGGGGCATTATAAAACACCTCAACAGTACATTTGAGGATTTTCAAGATAATGGAAGCTATTTTTAGTTGTTACATACATTTACTGGTGGCAGCATTGTCGACACGTTTAGGTAAGTATAGGCGCGCACAATATGAAAAAGCCCAGCCGAGGGCGTCCCTACAAATCCCTCCGGTGCTATCTAACGGGAGAAAGCTTAGTTAACATCGAGGCTATTGTGTGAACGAGAGGAATTTCAGCGACTCTGAAATGCCTCTCGTTCAAAGTTGACCCATGAAAGTATTTTGTTTATGTAGTACACATTTCCAACACGCGTGACTGCACACGTCAAGCGAAAAACAAGACAAAAAATCTTGCAGGTATGTTTGCTTAGTGCATTATTTTGCCGAAATAACTGGTTTGCGAATATCCTGAACGTTTATATGAAAATGTGTTTGACTAGCTACTGCAGTGTAGAGTCAGCCTAAGCTTGCTACATTTTCATTGTTCTGTCAAACGTGTATTCTTAGCAGACACCACTGTTGCTTCAAATCCGACAAAAATTAACATAGTTCTTTAGTAAATTAATTTAAGCTACTATTTTAGCTTGAAATATGTTCGTTTGGGCGGGAAATTGTGAAATGTATGTTTATTATTTCGCCGAGAACTTGTAACAAATCTTAGCAAGCGTGATAGTGAAATTTTTTTTTTTTGCATTCGATTAAATTGATAGTAGTTGTACTCTGCTCTCTTGATAGGCGATCTTGTTTACTACAACGAGGATGGCCGTTTTTATTATTACGAACGGATGAAGAGCCTGATAAAGTGCCTGGATTACGAAGTGTCCCCTTCCGAGTTGGAGGAGATTCTGCTGAGTAATCCTTTTGTTGCCGAGGCCGTGGTCGTCGGTGTCCTTCATCCGGAGTTTGGCGAAGTGGCGAAAGCCTTTGTCGCTCTCAAGGATTCAGCGTGTCCAGGCATGAGTCCTACAAGCGAGGAACTTCAAGAGTTCGTAGCAGGTGAGTTAGTTCCCATCACAACAAACTCAGCTGAAACTAACTTTTTAGAAATCCGCCATAGGTTGATCAGACTTATTTGCTGAATAATAACTAAATTGTTTAAACAATAAGTTGAGGCTTAGTGGTTGCCTGTCCCTTCTCGAGCCGTTCTCGGGGTTTTAGTCAATAACGCT